TTGCCGGCGTCAACTATTTCGAGTCGCTAAATTCAGTTTAAATTCATCTCTCCTTTTATTATTTATAATTTTATCTGTGGTTTTATTGTTCTTGTTTTGATTGTAAAGTGTCCTTGAGTGTTTTGAAAGGCGCTTATAAATGTAATGTATTATTATTATTATTACTTGATCACAATTGATCTGATTATAAACTAAAAAATAATCTCATTCTGTCTTCAGTAAAGAAACTTTGATTCTTCATCATATCCTCCACATTCAATGCTTCATGAAATAAAATGCACACATGTACCAATTTTGCACACACACTCAAAATACAAGCAGGAAAAAACCTAAATTAAACTTCAATTAACTCTCATTGTATGCCAATAAAGCATGAGACTGTTGCTTAAAATTTGTAGTTAGGGATGCCTCAGGTTTGGTTTGGCTAATCCAGTGTTTTTCAAACCCTGTGCCGCGGCACAGGGTGAAAAGGGTGAAAACATATTGTCAGGTGTGCTGTGGGAAATTATCCAATATGTATGCATGTGCGGTCAATCGCCCGGCAGAGTGATCGCGTAGTACTCTTCCATACCAGTAGGGAGCAGCAGCAGCTAGCGAATTGCTTTGTGCTTCGAGACAAGCGAAGTTTCCGGCGCGAGGCGATACAATGACAGCTCTCTTTCATTTGGATTTACTTTTACCGGAGATGCAACGCCACCGACTCCGTTGTGCTTGCTATGTGCTGAAAAGCAGCTCTCCAACAGCACTAATGTCCCAAGTAAGCTTAAACTCCATCTCCTAATAAAACACCCTTCACTTCGAAACAACAATGCGGAGTATTTTGTTCGCCTGCGTGAACACGCGGAGAAACAAGCAACGTGCATGAGAAAAACCGCAAAGGGAAACGAGAGAGCCTTGAAAACAAGTTACCATGTCGCTGAACTTGTGGCTAAATCAAAAAAGTGGCAGAGCAATTAATACTTGTCTCCTGCAAAGCCATTGGTGAGATGAGATGTTCGGACCCAAAGTGGCTAAAGAAATAGCCTGACTGCTGTAAAAACTAAAAACAGAGAAAGACTGAGAGCTGTGGAGGAAGAGCTTAGTGTGTCTTTCATCAATTGCTGCCAGGATATCAGATCTGTGTTCATCCAAACCATTTATCACACTGAGTGAAAATAAATATGAAAGATGATAAAATATTGGATTGATGTTGATTTGATTCCTATTCAAGGTGTTTTAATAGAGCGTTATTTTTCAATGTTAAAAAAATGCTTATAATAACAATATAACACTTCATTGTTAAAATAAGCTTTTTTCACATTTTCAGCGAGTGGTGTGCCGCGGGATGTTTTCCAATGAAAGAAATGTGCCTTGGCTCGAAAAAGATTGAAAAACACTGGGCTAATCAAGTCAAGTCCGCTTTATTGTCAAATATGCTCTTTGTACAACGCCCAGCACAGATGACATTTCTTTCCTCTCAACCACAGTGCAAACATGCAGTGCATTGAAACCACACAGATAAAAATAAGGGCAGCGAAACTGAACTGCATAAAAAAAAGACATAAATATATGAATATAAACAAATAAAACAATAAATGGCAATCAACAGACAATCTTGGACTACTAATCTTGGTTATGCTGCCCTAGACCTAGACTGCTGGGGAAAATCGCTCATGTCCCAAAGTTTCTCTCCCCTTCTTCGCTCGATCTTTCTCACTTCACCATCCAAGTGTTTGCTCATTTCGGTTTCAGTTGGTCTTACATACAGTACATATGTAATGTATGATGACATGCTCAATGTGTAAAGGTGTGTTGTGAATTGGCGCAATAATAAATTAAATTGACTTGGCTGAACTTGCTTTCAAGTTAAAATCATTCATGCAGAAAAGGTTTAGTTCGGATGGCTGCTGGCAGAAAGTCAGGAAAAGACAACATCAAGGGCCGCTCTTCCTCACCTTTCCTTGTGTATGTTGTCGCTGTCTTTTGAGAGCTACATAGTTCGGCTTAGCACTCAAGGAAGCTTGGCATTAAGTAGTTGCTTTGTCTTGCCGGTCACACTGGCAGCTCAAACATCTGGCAAGTACAGCCCACAGATCCTTGTTCATGACCTGGGCTGTACTTTTCAAGCACTTTTTGAATTAGATTAGATTACTTATAGAGTGTGATCCTACTTTTTCCTTTCATCAAATAACACTTCCCTTGGGATGCATATGGACTTGGGAAATGCAAACTCACAGCCAACAGGTCAAAACTGCTCACATGTACGCTCGATAAAAAGTCTACACATTCCTGTTTAAATGCCGGGTTTTTATTTTATAAATAAAAACAATTTAAAAATATCAATCATTGGGACAGGAAGTAAAAAAATTAAAATAAACGGAGATAGTATAATTTCGGAAGTGCACACACACACACACACAATCTTATAACTGGGATGTGGCGGTTTTCAGAATTAGCCAATAATATTCAAACTTGTGTTAAATTATGAAATGTTTTTTCTTTCTAGGTTTTGTTCTAACGCTGATTCTGCTATTTCAAACTTTCATAATTCCTTCCGCCTGGTTTAAAGCCCCGGTTGAAGAAAAATTGCCGCAAAGCATGATGCTACCACCACCTTGCTTAATCGTCGCTCTGGTTTTCTTTTGCTGCTGAGGACTGCTGTATTTGCACCAAACATACCTTGTGAAATTAGAGCCACATTTAACACATTTTCTCCACTTGTTTTGGGGAAATGTTGTTATGGTCCAATTAGAGAATTTTTCAATATCAGACATTATCAATAGTCGAATTAATTACTTCCAGTATGTTGGTCCATCATGGTATTTTTTTTCTACATATTGGTGATTTATGTCAAATAAGGGTCAATTTAAGTTCTTTTTTTCTTTACTTTTTGCTTTCAGGTCTAATTAGTTATTGGATGTCAGCAGCAATCCTGCAGAACTTCTGGCCTTCAACTAATCGAAGAAACCCCATAGTGTCTCTCATGGTGATCCTTTTGTTTCGTTTCCATGCAAGCTCCACAGGCTTAAAGAATCCGGCAGCCACAGTTGCCATGGAAACTGCTGTATACTCTGACCATGAAGACTCAAAAGAAAACTGCACTGATTCTTTTTGACACTAACTTGTTTGGCCGTATTATATCTAATGTCACTCAGAATTGATTAGGGTCTTGTTCAGCTTTGGGGCAAAACATTTCATCTCTTGTCACACACTCGTCGAAAATCCACGCAGGCATGGAGAAAATATGAGAAATTTTACAACCGTAACGTCTGCACTTTTTTTTTTTTTTTGCAGGATATGATACAAAATATTCCCAGTGCCTGAGGACATGCTAAATTTGGACTATTACATGCAGAATCCATCTTTCCAATATCTTGACAGGACAATCAATTTAGTGGCTGTCTTACAAGGTTAATTAGCCCACCAATCAATAGGTTGTATTGACTTAAAGATAATGACGTTGAGAAAGAGTTCCAAATAAGAAATGTGCAAAAAGCTGATGCATTTTTAGATTCTGACACTCTGGATCTGCATTAGGATCATGTTGCAATAGAGCAAAGTTACTGTATCACCTACTGCACAATGAATTCCTTTACACTTGTAATCTAACATTCTAAATCATTGGTTAGTGTGAGTGGAGTGTATTTGTACTCATTTTTATTTCTGACAACTTTCCAATGCTACTCCATTACATTTCTTAGATGTTTTTACATTGACACATTACCCCAAAACATCTTCGTTATTCATGACCCCCCGCACCCCCCCAAAAAAAATAAAAATAAAAATGTAGTTGACGTAATGCCTGAAAAGCTAGCAAATAATAATTCTGCTGTATTGATGTAGTCAGGGTGGGAAGAGGTCATAAATTGAAGATGCAAGTAATAAGGCTGGCTTTTTAGGCGCACCGAGAGTGTGTCCCTGTCTCTGCGTCTTTCGGTTTCCAGTCATCTGGTTTGAGGCCAGCGGACGCCAGGGTCACCTGTTGCTAAAACAAATGAGTGACTACAGTTATTTGACATCTTGCAGATCTCTAACTAGAGCATAGAAAAAAAACTGCGTCACCATAAAACAATCAATTCTGAGCGTTTTTGTTTTTTTTTAAGCCCTGCAATACTTGAGTACATTAATCAGAAATAATACTGGAAGTCAGATACATTAACACTTACGCAATCAATATTCTAGATCAGTTGTATCAAACATACGGCCCGTGGGCTGGAACCGTTCCCCAAGGAGGTTCTATCAGGCCCGCAGGATAACAACAACATTGTTTTGATCAGAGAAGAAGACAACAGCTTTCTTGATCCTCTTCTTGATCGTGAGCGCTGTCTTCACCGCTTAAATCGCCGACACTTTTACC